CCCCTAGCCCCGTCGGGCAGAGCCGTGGAGGCAGTGCGCCCAATGGCTCATCCACTGCAAGGTGCTGCCCGCCAACCACCGGGTGACCTGGGACTCGGCGCAGGTGTTCGACCTGGCGCAGACCCTGCGCGATGGAGTCCTCCTCTGCCAGCTGCTCAACAACCTCCGGGCGCGCTCCATCAACCTGAAGGAGATCAACCTGAGGCCGCAGATGTCCCAGGTGAGGAGGCCGGCGGGCGCCTCGGTCCCCGGCCCGCTGCTCCCATTAATCACCCGGCTAATGTCTTTGTGTGGATGCAAACCTCTAGGTGCGCCCGGCTTGCCTCCCTCCCAGCCTCCTGCTTGGGGGACCACCTCGGCTTTTCAGACCTCGGCCGGGGAAGGTTTGGCTCTTTAGCTGAACGCTAAAGCCCAGCGTCCGGAGGTGGTAGGAGGGTTTCGGAAAGGCGTTCTGTGCGGCGGGAAACAATACTACCGGAGGGGCCCCCTCACCTACTTTGGTGCGCGCGCGCGTGTGCAACAAAAGGACTCGAGCCAGCCCTGTATAATAGCGAAGGGGTGGGATGTACCGAGGTGATGGGCTGAGGCTGCCTTTAGTGCAAGTCTCTGGCTTGCGTCTCGTCCCCATGTTTTCTTGAAAGAGGAACCATGACTTCAATGAGGACTCGAGGAAGTGGAGGGCGTTCCGACCGTTATCTGTACCGGGATGACCCTGGGCGAAGGGAGGCGAAGGGGGCACCGCAGGGAGGCGCCCCGAGAGCCCCCGAGCGTGGGGCCGGCTGGAGCGAGCGGCTCTGTTTACAGTTCTGGTTGAGCCATGTGAGAAGGAAGGAGGCCAGCCTCTCTCGGCAGGCAGCGACAGGAAGCGAGAAGTTTTGCTCGAGATTCCGCTTTCCCTCGCTCAGGGCCGCTCGCTCTGCTGCTGCGGTGCAGGCTTGGCTCCCGCCGCTGCAGGCGCCTCTGGGGGGTGCACCCTACAGTCAACTCGGAAGCCCCAGCTCAGTGGGACAGTGCCTTCTGGGTCCCGGCAGAAAGTGTTTGCACAGAAAGTTGGTGAACTCGACTCGGCACACCCATTTTCTCTTTTCACAGTGTAAGAAATCCACTTTCAACTTAAAAGGAGGGGAAAGAGGCCCTCCGCGACACATCCTGAATGATAGGGAACCTCGGCTGCCTAGCAACCAGAGCAGTGCCTTTTACCACCAAGTGACTTTATAGACTTTGCTAATTATGTAGTCATCCCTTCTTCCGGATGGCAATGTCTTATCAGGGTCCCCCAGCACCTCCACTGCGGCTCCCTTGCCTTCAACCTGCTGGCTAGCACCCCCCAAGAAAGGACAGTGAGAGCCATATGCTTTTAGAAGTGAGGTCAGTTGTTTTCGACTCTCCCATAGTCCTGGGTGGTGATTGCTGACTCCTTGGACCCCTTTTGAGCTGCCCCAGTTCTGGCTGTTCTGTCCTGGGGGTCAGCAGACATCTCCATTACACTGGGAGCCCACGGATGCCCCCTCTCCCCTGGCCTCCAGCCTCAGAGGCAGAGCAGGTCAGGATGCACGGCCCACCAGCAGGAAGAGCAGCGCTGAGTGCATTTCCTGAAACTCCGGTGTCCTGGAACCCTCGGGGGCTGTTCTCTAAGCTGTTCTCTATAATCAGTTTTTCTGGACAGCTGCGGATCTCTCTCTCTCTTTAACGTTCTATCCCTTGTTCCAATGTCAACAGTCATAGGAAATCTTTTCAAATGTGTTTTTGCTGTTCTCTTTGTAGCACATATTAGATATAATTGAATCCTTTTGAGAACGAAGGACCGTCATTATAAGCATCCCTAATGAAAACTGAGCACTTACGATGCTCTACAAAATTTGATCCCTACGGGGGAGAAGGGGGGTACCACAGTGAGCACAGCAGGATCCGAGCCCTAAAGGAATCATTACTGTGCTATCAGATAAGCCACCAGGTTGTAATGAGCCAAACAGCCCAATGGCCCTCCTTAGGCGGTTGTGCTTTTTGGTTCTTCAGTCTGACCCTGAACTTCCTGGTTCCAACTTCAGTGCAGTTTCCTCTCTAGTGTCTTATGGGCGAGGGCCTCTCCCAAAAGTGAACCCTGGAAGGCTGGCATCTGAATATGGTGGTCAGTTTTCTTCTTGGTTCTTGGCCTCATTTCAGAGAGAGAAGGTTTCTAAACAGCTGAGTGCTGGACAGGCGAGTTGGTATTATACACGTTGTCATTAAATCCTCAAATGAGACTTCATTCAGCAAGCTGACGTATTTAACACGCCTGCAGGTGTCCAGCACATACTGTGTAACTTAATTGATATTCACTATTAGCAAAATTATTTGACACATTTTCCCCCTGCTATTGTCATGGATTATAACATAAATTTTAAAACACTTGCAAAGCTTACAGATTTTTTTTGAAGGATGACATCTCCAAATATCTTTGCCTTTAGCTACTCATATATCTTTCTTGGTAAAGGTTCTAGATGCTTCTGTCATAAGGTTCTTACTGCATCGGCTCTATTCATACTCAATAGTGAATAACCTAGAAACCCTGACGTGCGTCCCAGCAGACTTACCCTTCTGAATTTAGAGATGTCAATACTAGTACTTGTGCCTTTTGCCCTGTCTAAGAGCCATTCTGTCCACCTGATTGAGGTTCCACTGAAGGTATTAATTTGAAATGGATACAGAGCCCACGATCTTCTAAGCCAGGAAATAGCTGGAAGCTCTCACTTTCTAGGTTTGTGGTATTTGAGACTGCTATGAGCAGATGTTGACAAATGAAATTTTAGTTGATTTTTAATTTATTTTTTAAAATACATTTTTTATTGATTTCAGAGAGGAATGGAGAGAGAGAGAAACATCAGTGATGAGAGAGAATCATTGATCTGCTGCCTCCTGCATGCCCCCTCCTGGGGCTTGAGCCTACAACCCGTGCACATGCCCTTGACCGGAATCGAACCTGGGACCCTTCAGTCTGCAGGCTGATGGTCTATCCACTGAGCCAAACCAGCCAGGTTGAGCCAGGGCTGAAATTTTAGTTTATTGATGTTTGGCTTGAGCTGTGGGACATGCCCATGTGTCAAGGTTAGAGAGACGAGAACCTGGAAAGGAGTGGAGATGGAGAGGGCAGGAGATAGGAGGAAACCGGTAAAATGTGGTTCCAGGAATCCAAGTGAGTGAAGTGTTTGAGGAAGGAGTGACCAGACCTGTCAAATGCTGCCGATGGAGTGAGTAAAACGAATTGAGGATGGAGTATTGCATTAAGCAAAATAAAGTTCTTTGGTGACCTTGACAGACAGATTTGGTGAGTGATGGTCAGACACCCAATTGGAGAAGAGAGCCGGGAGGAGAGGATGGAGACGCAAGCATAGACCTCTCCCCGGGAGGAACTTTGCTGTAAATAGAGCAGAAAAACGGGGTCATGGCCAGTAGGGGAAGAGGGATCGAGAAAGCATTATTTTCTTGTCACATAGAATTCGTACTTTGTACCTATTAAAAGAGCTCTTTTAGGTTGAGACAGATTTTATCATGTCTACATGTGTGTGTATGTGGGAAAAAGACATGTGTATATAGATAAGAAAATACAGGGGAAATAAACCTACTGTGTTCCTAAAACTTCCCTTCCCTCATATGCTGTTCTTCTGAAGATCGTTTCCTCTCAACATTCGATTTCCATTGATTATGCTTTTTTTTTCATATAATCTTTTATTCTGAGGACCAAGGGTTGGTGATGTAGCATTTCTAACAGAATACACTACTATTGTCCCCAAGCCTCCCTTCAAGCTGGAGTTGGGTTTTGATGCTGTTACTGCTTAAAAAAAGTTAGAGAACTGTATTTCTGCTCACTGGTGACCTTGCAGACAGAGGAGGGCTCCCACCTTCCCGTGCCTGCGCCCACAGACGATGCTTTCTCTCCTGTTCTGTGGGTGAATGATCAGAGCTCCTCCCTCCCTCCCTCCCTGTGCTTCCTGCATCTTCAGATCGCCCCTGGATCTGCCCATGTGCATGCAATTATGTCCATAGTCCCCTCGCTTGAATCAGGAAATGTTTCCAAGGTAGAGCCACAGACTAGCCGAGCCTTGGGTGTGATGGAGAGTAACTCCTAGGGGTTACCAGAACTCCCGGGGCAGGTGTCAGAGTCAACCTTCTTATAGCTGTTTAATGGATAATGGATGCCTATGGATCACGGGATGGAGTTCAGACCCTTCGCAAGCATGCAAGGGCCCCTGGTCTGGACCGGTTTATCCTCGAAGCTCTGCTCCACTCTGTGCCTGACCTTTTGGTGGCTCTCTGCGCTGTTAAAAGGCTCTGAACCATTGCACATGCCTTTTTCTCTGCTTGAGATGCCCCTTCTCATTCTGCTGGTTGAAGATTTGGTTCAAGGGTCACCCTTGCAGTGAGGGCGTCCCAACTTCTCCCTGAGGCGTGGCTGGTCACGTGCTGCTTTGTCTGGGGCTCATGGGTGGAACCCAGCATTTCCCGCCCTATTTGGCAATATTTTCCTCATCTGTCTCCCTTCCAGGCTGTGACCGGCCTGAGGCTGCCCTAGGCGCCCTTGTGTATATGCATCTGTAGGCACTTCCACAGGGACTCATCCATAGCGCCCATACGTAAGCAGGCATGCACCAGTCCATTGATAGTGGATTGCAAATGAAGACTCTGTGTACCGCCTTTTCAAATGTACAAGGTCATTAAAAACAAAAACCACCTGTTCACTAAGTGGCCTTACTACACTGCTTACCGTCAGGTGAGTGACCGAACCCGTCTCAGAAATAGGCACAATAAAAGAACCCACCTCCCAGAGTGCTTTGAGGACAGGGCATGAATCAGCCTGTGGCCCACACATAGAAATTTGCAATACAGGTTAACTATTTGTATATAGTTATGACTACGGCTCCTGCAGAAACAAACGAGGTTGTGCATTCACACCCACCGCGCCTGAGCGAATCGTCACACACGGTGAGACAGGCTTTGTTATTGATCCCCATGCGTTAGATCCTCTCCCGGGCCAAGAGGAGGTGGTGACTTGTACTAACACGCAGTTCTCGGCGGAGCCCAGATTAGCATCACAACATCCGAAGGGCAGTGTTTCCCATCAGCAGGGCACTGGCCCCTCTGCATGTGAACCGCAACGACGTTCTCTTTTTTCACTGTGTGGCGCTCTTGCCGTGTTCCCTTGGAGAATGTTCTGGTTGGTTTTGTGGCTGTCGAAAACAGCAC